CTAGCATTTCCTTTATATATGCATATAGGCAACAAAGACAGTAGTATTTGCAATACCTGCGACTTTGTCATCATTTGACAATTGCAAATATTTTCATATCACACTACAGTTATTGCAGATGGCTCTAAATATCACTGGCACTCATAGCTCCTTCAAAATGATCAGTAGTTATTAGGCCCCCTGTTAATCCTTGTCATTTACTGTATTAATAATGAAGCATATTTATTACTATAAATCCTGGTTTGTTTATACTTTTACAACTAATTTCAATATAATATATTTCCTTTAGAATCCCGCATTATTTATTTTAGGAATTTAAAAACATTATTCTGAAAAGGGGTTCTTAAGTGTCACTAGACTTTGTCAAAGGACGCTTGGCACAACATAGATTAAGAACTGCTGATTCGAATAGCATTGGCCTTGGTGCTCTGCCTGCTGTGTGCCCTGATGAATTCTGTCTGCTGCAGTAAGCAACTCAGGTTCCAAAAGACTGGTATTCCCTTAATGTGTTGTCCATATAGTTAAGAGAAAAAACTTTAGACAAATTAAATTTAGCAGAGTTTAACTGAGGAAAGAATGATTCTTGAATTTGGCAGCCCTCAGAATCAGAAAAGGTTCAAAGGACTCTGGGGCTGCAACGTGGCAGGACAATGTTTATGAACAGAAAAAGGGAAGTGAAGTACAGAAAAGACAGCTCAGCTGGTTACAGCTCGGCTGCTGTGATTGGCTGAGACTCAGCTCTTTGCCACAGAAGCATTCTCTTAAGTTAGACTCTCAGTTAGTTTATATACTAAGTTACCTTGCAGTTTCTTATGTAAAGACTGGAGCAGGAGACATCCTCAGGCCAAATTTACTTTGATTTCACATTATCCTCATTGCCTTTATCTTAGTCCTTCTGCTGTGTTCAAGTGGTATTTAACACCTTTCTGACTTTGCATTCTTAGCCGTGGACTCTTCACCCAATGAGAGAGGCTATTTTTCTCCTTTTAGGAAATTCCTTAGTTTGTTAAGAAGAGGCCTCCAGCTACCAGGAAGATCGGCACCCCAGGAAACAAAACATACTTTCTTTAATGCGTCTGAAAGTATGCTAGGCTGTCATGTCTTTTTCTCCTTTTAGGAAATTCCTTAGTTTGTTAAGAAGAGGCCTCCAGCTACCAGGAAGATTGGCACCCCAGGAAACAAAACATACTTTCTTTAATGCGTCTGAAAGTATGCGAGGCTGTCATGTTACTTTCTTTAATGCGTCTGAAAGTATGCTAGGCTGTCATGTCGGGAGAAATTGCAGCCTCAGCAATTCATTCCTCGCTACCAATTAAATTCAGTCACACACTGGGCAAGTGTGCTGAGGCCTTTCAGAATGAATGAAACCTCCATAAGGAGAACTAGTCAGAGGAGACTCTTTGGGGAGTGACTTCCTGGGCAAAAAGTCAGGGAGGATGTGTTGGATTAGAACAGCAGAGAGAAAGGAGTTACTTCAGTTGTGGGACCAGTGGGAGTAAAAGTTCAGATTTCATCAGGACTTATATATCCATCAGGACATATGGACCAGGTGCTTAGTACTTAAGAGCATTTCAGAAACTACTGAAAATGTTTGAGACTTAAAAAAATTTCATTATTCTATAATATGAAAAAAAAAATTCAAAATGTGTCAATAAATGCTTAATTACATGTCTATAAAATTAAAAACTTTAACTGACCACTTAAAAACATTTTATTACATTTGAAAACAATTTATAGATCAGATTTTCTCACTTAATAAGAATCCCAAAGTATATACAAAGATTGACCAGAAATCAGCCAATCTTTAAGTAAATGTGTTGCCCATAGCTGAATAATTTGAAAAGCAAAACTATAAATATCATTTAACATTTTTACAGAAAAAATTTGATTCGATACATTAATGCATTTTAATATATTTGACAAGATGCAGAATGGGGTTTCCAAAAGAAAGCGTTTAAGGTCTATAAAGGTCTTACCCACCGTAAACAGTAATTACATTGATCAGAGCTACTTATCTTACTTTAGGGTACCAGCTGGGGATTCCAACTCAGTGATTCTGAAGAGCTTTTTCTGACTAGCACCATGACTAGTCACACACAAATAGAATTTACACACAGAACAGAAACGTAAAAGCAAAATAAAGAGGCATCTCTTTCTGAACTCCCACGCTAAGAACCCTCTTCAACAGTTAGTGTCTGGAAGCCTTCTTCAGCTTTTAGAACAGACTTGTGAACTCCACTAAAACAGAAGCTCCACCGGGGTTTTGCACACTCAATGCCTTTGAGAATTCTTTTTACAGGCCCTTCCTAGAGGAGTCCAGTCCGGGATAAATCACTTTGTATTTCAGGGGCACTCTCACCCTAAGCCTTCCATTCTACCATCCTTGTTATTTTTATGTAGGTGAAATTTGGGCAAACTATTAAAGTGGAAGGGTCAGAAATGGGGCTGAAAATGCAGAAGACAGGAGGAGGCCTCTTGCCTAGCTTTGGTGATGGAATAAAATGGAGGAGGGAGAATGGATCCTTGGAGAAAGATGTTGGAGATAAATACATTTGGTGAAGTGCCTTGAATGTGTTGTCTCATTAGAGCTTATAATTGTTACGCATTATTTTATTAATTATATGCCCCCCTTTTATTTATGGAGAGCGGGGGAAGAAAGGATGGAGGAAGCAGTTTGGACTCAAGTCCACTTCTGCCTCCAAAGCATGAGTTCTTTCCCTCGTCCTCCTGAACTTGGTCTTTGGGTTTCCTAACTGCACTGAGTTGTACTGGTGCTGCATCTGCCTGCACCATGGTGGGTCCTCCCCTCTCTCTGCTAGGCCCTCAGACTGCCTCTGCTGTTCTCTGACTATCAAACTTATTTTCAGCTTCTTGATAGTTACTTCGAAGCCTGCCGGCACATGTTGGAACCAGAGAGGAGGTTCGCTTTAGCACAAGTGATGATGGATATCATGCACCGGTGCCCGAGGTTTGATCTTGGCCACCCTTATTTCACTAAGGCCTACTGAGATGAATGCACCTGCCTGAGGCTCCACCTGCAGCTGGTGAGGGGCATCCTCAACCAGCAGGTGAGGACAGTGGGTTTTTAAATATTAATTCTTAGAAGCAGATGAAGAACCTGGGCCAGGAATGAACATAGTGTTTTCCTTTTCTTGCAGGTCTGGAATCTGGGTTTTCTAGGGCAGCATGTACAGTATGTTTATTTGTAAGCTCATTTGCATTGTTGAATTCCAAGCATAACTAGAGTCTTAGAGGGAGGTTTCCAACTCTAACTCTAGTTAATGGTCCACAAGGAATTGGTGACCTCAGTTTTCATTAGATCACAGAGTTTTTCAGTAGTGAAAGAAAAACTAATGATACATCTTTTCAAGACATTAATGTATAAAGCTGTGTTTATTTAAATTATTTTTGTGACTACTTTAAGGACACTGAAAGAACAGATCACATTGTATGCCCTCTAGGGAAAAGCTAATGACATGAAGCAAGCAGGAGACCAGGAACCGTTGCAACCTTGTTGGAATCTTTTCCATGTAGTGAATTATTAACAGAAAGAAGTTTGCTTTTGCCTCTTCAAATTGTCTGAAGTTGGTTGTTGCCTTTTCTCTCCTTGGCTGACTGGCTCAGACTGAGACAGCAATGTGTCTCATTGCAAATGAGTCTTCATAACAATGTCTGGGTAAAAATTAGTCAAATGATGAAGAGACGCAAAGAGATGAGATCCTTCTGATGTCAAGGCTCATAACTCACGTCCATGGCAAAGTTTAACTTTCCTAATTTTAACATTTATGCTACATTTTTAGAAAGAGTGTCAGCGGGAGTATGTCCAGAGGCTTTGGCAAGTAGATCATTTGGATGATAGCAATAAATTTGGATTTCCTCTTAACATAATTGGCAAACAACATATTTCCATCAGCAATAGCTGGTAAGTTGGTGTTGTCTTTAGACATTTCACACTTAATCTTCTAGATTAATTAAGGGTATAGTGTTAAATCTAAATACTACTCTATAAAGCACCTCTCAGGTATTTGGGGAGATGAGTGAAGTAGGTATAAAAGCCATAAAGCAAGGATTCCCTCACATATTAAATATCTGTTTGCTTTTTAAATAATAAAGAATAGGAGGCTAGAATTTAAACTTATGCCACTGGGTGCAGAATTGTCATTTCTTTGAAAAGTCCTCGGGGAAAAATAAGTAGTTGCTTTTGAAATGATGTGGTAGGGTTTAATCAGCACACAAGCCCACATATGCAAAACTTGGTTATGCTTAAAAATTTCTCAAAAAGGAATTTCTTTATTCTAGCAAGTGTCACTAAAAGGGTTTCTGCAGACTTGTCTTGTGACTCCCGCCTCTTTAAGGAGCAGGGTTAAGTTTTGAGACCACTCAGAGAGGATACATTCTTTGTCACCCCCTTGACATAGAGCCTGGCAACCTCCCATCTCCACTCCCCCACTCCCCATTCCCTTCCAGCCTTTGAGATCACAGGGAATGGGAAGCGGTGACAAGTCAGTCTCAGGCTCTAGTTCACAGTCTCTCTATTGCCTCCAAATGGGTGGAGAAATTGTCTAGCTCCTTTCAATATCCAACAAATATTTGTTCAGCACCTACATGTACCAGGCACTGTGCTAGGAATACAGATGTGAACTACACAGGCATGGCCCTGTGCTCATGCGAGGCATACAGTCCAGCATTAAAGGCAGGCTTTACATAAGAAATTGCCCTAATGGGTTATTTTATCATCTTGGGGACAGGCAGGGTGCTGTGCGAGCTGAAAGCTGAGATTCTGTCCTCATTTCTTAAGAAAAGAGTCCTGAGAGTTACAGGCACAAAACTCTGTCTTTTCTCCATAGACCTTTCTTAGGACTGATTTCTTCACTGTAATAATAAACTTGAGACACCAGCTGTGTGTGTGCAGCTTGCTATGGCAAGAATCTACTATTCAGGAAATGGTTTTTGGCAGAACAGGCTATATGGATACTAAAACCTGTCAGAATAGTCTCAAGAACAAATGTTATTTGCTTTGTGAGATTCCTTTCCAGACTTTGGGCTGTAGTTTTTAAGATCTAGGACTAAGAAGAATCCCATTTGCATAAACTTAAAGGAAAATCTTTATGTTCTTGAGTTTTGCGTAAGTATTAGAAGGACCTTTGACTTGTGCCATGTCCTTTATCACTAAAGGAATAGCCCACAGAAGAGCATTTTATTGTTTCTGGCCTTATCCATTGATAAAATATAACCTTCTTACAGCAAATATGCATGATCCCAGCAGTTGTGTACAGAATTTAAAAATATTGCCCATTAACATTTTGAAGAAAAAGAGATACAAATTCAGATGAAAAATAGAAGCTAGTAACCATGGAAATTATTTGGTTTTTTAAAGTCACTTTTAAGTTATTTTGTTTTCAGATATTTAACTAAATATTGATTACTGAAATGCTGACAATTTTGCCATGTACGGTTTTAATCTTATTCTTATTGGGCTTTAGAATATAAGCCTATGTCTTTCAGTTTTAGAAGCGTTCACATTAAAGTGAGGAGCATGTCATATAACCCACTGGGTTCCCTGGACCTGGCCTCTGAGGTCTCTCTTAGCTTCCAGTTATAAGCCTATGTCTTTCAGTTTTAGAAGCGTTCACATTAAAGTGAGGAGCATGTCATATAATCCACTGGGTTCCCTGGACCTGGCCTCTGAGGTCTCTCTTAGCTTCCAGTTTTTTTTTATAATGCTCTGGACCTATAGGAGCTGTTTTATTGGCCTTTACAAATGTAAAATTCAAATATCTTTGGAAACAGATTAAGTTCTTCACTGTATAAAATTGTCATTCATTGTTTCTCTTCTTGAAGCCCAGCTTTGAAAAGTGTTTATCTGCTGGAGTTCTGCCCTTCCCTCGGCCTGGCAGTGCTCCTTCCCAAAGTCCTGGAGCATCTCGTCCAGGAGGCCCACCACGCCTGCAGACCTGCATCAGCCAGCGGCCTTGCCTTGCTGGAGTGGCATGTCCTGGAGCTGGCCCTGGACCTGCAGCTCACCCCAACCAAGCCTGAGGCCTGGTACTGCACAGAGCTCCAAATAATGTAGGTACTTTCTGAAGGGGGTAGTTGGGTCCTTGGCAAAGACAATGTTTCCTTCCAGATGTTACTATTTAGCTTTGTTTTTCTGTTTGGCTCTATTCCCTCTTATTTGACCAGAAACAGATCATAGTCATAGGCCTTGCCAACATTTTTATGTGATTTTTGGGGGGTCAAAGTTTCTAGTTTATAAGGATGCTGCTACAATTACAACTGAAAGGGGAATGCACGTAGGTATGTGGAAAATGTTTTCTGATTTATTATTTATATTTTAACAATATATATTCTTAATTAAAAATTATATATTTTCTTTCTATTAAGACTCTCCCTAAAATTTGCTCTTTTTGTCTTGAGTCAAGATCTGGTGGAGGAGAAAGAACACCGAATAAGGAGTCAGGGACCTGGATTCAAGTTCAGCCCTGAAATTAATTTGCTGTGTGACTCTGAGCAAGTGTCTTAGCCTCTCTGAGTCTCCCTTCCCTTCTTTGTAAAGTTAAGCTTGTGTATCTGGGGGGAAGTGGGTGAAGGTGAGCTTGGTGATCTATGAAGCCCCTTCTAGCTCCAATGCTCAGTGGTTCAAACTGTGGCCTGATGATTTGTATGGTGCTGGTAGTTAGATTTTAATCCTTTTCTTTTTCTGTTAAGGCTATCAAGATTGAGCCTGGGTTTCCAATTTGACCTTACTCTGTGTGGTTACTTGCTATGTGACCAAGGTACTTTCTAGAGCCCTAGCTGCCAAAAATATCTGCCCCATGGGTCTTGCTTGGTTGCCTATCTCCTCCTGCTCAAACTAAAATTCTATTTTATTTTAAATTGATAGACGTAATATAAAATTACAGAGAATTTTAGCAAAAGAGGAAAGAAGAAAATTTAACCTAAATATAATCACTCAAATGCACTCATTATCCTTATTTTTCAGAATTCAAGTATCCTTTATATGCGTGTTTTACAGTTATATTCTTCATACACTGCTATCTCTTACTTTTCTCGGTTAACATTGTATTACATATTTTTCTATATTGTTAACTAGTCTTTATACTTACTTTTATGACCACATAATTCTCTTAAATGATTAATCATCACTTCTCTAACCATTTCTTATTGATGGTCACTCAAGTGATTTCTAATTTTTCTTGGTTACTGAAAATGCTATATGGCACATCTTTATGCTTACAGATTTTTCCATATCTTGAATTGATTTCTTTCAATAGATTCTTGGAAGTGGAATTGCTGAAAGAAAATTTAAATCTTTGGGTACATATTGGCAGATAGCTTTCCAAAAGGGTTGTGCCAACTTACAATGCCACCAATAATGTGTAAGAGTACCAGTTCTGCTTCATGTACAGTATTAAGTGAAAGCATATAATACAGGTGCTAATATACACATATACATAAAAGGTGTCAGTACGCTGTTAATTTGCATTTCCTTGCTATTTATTGAAATTAAATGTTCTTCCAAATGTTTTGTTACTACCTGTATTTTTTTGTGAATTTTCTGTTTTTTCTCTTTATTTGTCTGTTGGAATCCTAATCTCATTTCTATCTATTTACATGAGCTTTTCTTAAATAAAAACTTTCACCTCTTTTTCTATCTTATTTTCTGCAAATATTTTCCCCATTTGTCTTTCTATTTTTTAGTAGAAACTTCTTATTTTCATAGTCAAATCTGTTGATCATTTCCTTTGTGATTTCTTCTATTCTCCTAATTTCAGAAAAAAAAATCTTCCTCCAGATGTTTCATATTTGTTTTATATTATCCTAATTTTTAAGGGCTTGGTTTTCTTTAAAAAAATATTTAACTCCCTTAATATTTCATTGGGCGGTGTGTGTGTGTGTGTGTGTGTGTGTGTGTGTGTGTGTGGCGTGTGAGGTATAAGTTAAAATTGAATTTTT